CCGGGATCATGACCTGAGCCGAAGGCAGACGCTCAACGACTGAGCCACCCAGGTGCCCCTAGAGTTTTCATATTTAAAAGTGGCCATAAAGACTATTATAGAAAAGCCACAGCAGGGTGACGAAAACCCTATCTAAAAACCACAAGTGGTTCTATAATGTTTTCAACAGACTATTCGTTTTCACCAGCCTACAAATGGCAACATTCAAACAACAATAGGCTTTTCTTCTCTTTGTAACGTTCTTCACTAAACCTGGCACGTGTGATGCACACACAATATGGATCGATCATGAATCAGATTTAACCTTGGAAGACTCAGTTATACCCCCATTCCTAAATGCAGAATATATGTATGTCGAAATATACCTAATTCCACCTTCACATAGTTAAGCTTTGGTCCAAGAAGAACAGGAATTATTTTGCTGCGATCTAAAAGTGAAAGAAGAAAAGAAAATGCATCAGCATTGCTCTGAGCTTCTCTAAGACAAGTATCTGTAGTAACACGCTTATACCACGTGACAAAGATCCTAACAGTTATCACTTTACACTTACTTCTGCCGTATTTTCATTAACTAATGGTTGCAGCTGATAGTGTTTGTCATTTCGCTTTCCGTCAACTCAAAGCTAATGTAACCGGAGAAAACACAACTGAATTGGGTTTCCCTCAGCTCAAATCTGTGGCTTCTGCAGCTAAACGCCAGAGGAAAATGTCCATCCAGGCGGACAAACCCACCTGCAGGACTTAGAGGCAAAGTCCCGGGGAAATGCCTTTCTGCTCTGCCTTTATTCCTCCTGTCTGCTCTCCTCAACTCCTCACAGACAGATTTATTGGGGACAGGGACTCTACTCTGTGAGGTAGGCAAGGCACTCGCTCTCAGGTGTCGACCCTTCCCGCGCAAGCACTGAGGGAAACACCCCTTCAATTTTGTGCTCTGGATGCCTCGCCTGCCTCACCTTAGTCCTGGCCCTGCAGGGATGTCCACACCTGCGGGCTCAGCTCTGCTTCTGTTCCTGAGTGACTTCTGACCCTGACTAGGGGTACTTAATACTCTCGGCCTCAGCTTCCCTCTCAATGCTGTCATACAACCTAGGGAGCTAATAACTGCAGAATACTGAGAGCACACATTGAACCTGCTATGTTGTCAAGTTCTTGTTAGTCCAAAGATCAGCACTGGCAACTTTCTTCATGACCGAGACTCTCCCTTCTGGTACAGCCGGTGTTTCTGGGGCATTTACAAGTAATGTACAGAGCAGTCATTCCCAGTGCTCAGCAAACTCCTGGGGCTTACCGGTGCTCAGCAAACACAATGTAGGTGCAGAAGGAGTGAAGGGAGCCTGGGGGGCTCTCCGGCACCAACCCTACCTAAGCCCTCTCGGGAAGTGTGATGCTGCAGAGTGAAGGGTAGAGAAACGAGTGGTGAGTGTGTGCATAAGAACTGGAGGATGAAACTTGCAAAGTGAAACTCCAAGCCAGTCAGATTTGGTTCTTCTGGGATTCAGACTCTCTGGGGAAGCGTGGAATACGTACAGGCAGACAGCAGGACCTGGGATGCCGCCAGAGAAAGTAGGAACTCTCAAGTCTTGAGAATATTGAGGGACATGAATTGATTCAAGGACAAAGGGGTGATTTTGTAGAAAATTGCTATTGCTTATCTTTCTCTGGATCTGTCCTCCCCTCCCCCTCAGGAATGTCAGTGGGAGCCCTGGGGGAGGGGTGGTGTAAAAGAACATCTTTAAGACAGTATGCCATCTACTAAAACTTGAAGTATATCATTGAAAACCCAGAGCACCCTGTCCCCGGCATGTCCTCCTGCCCATCTCATGTTCAACCTCTAAACTCAGCTCGGAGTCTCCTGACTCTGATCTTCCTCTGGACTCTCTCTGCACCCTTAACACCTCACGGATGAATCCAGTTTCATATACTAGGGTACTCCTATGTGGATTATCACCTCTCCTGCCTATAATCAAATTTCTCTAGTACATTACTCACTTTATTTCCTATTTCCCTGCCTCCTTTACCTCCTGATGCTCAGTACAGTTTGTTGAATTATAGACACTTTGAAGAATATCTGTTGAGTGAAAGCATATGCTAAACAACAAGAGATTCCTCAAATTACTCAAACATGAAATAAGAATGCTGGCTCATGGGAGGCTCACCTATATAAAGGTCATTTACTACCCCCCCCCCCGAAAAAAATCTTTCCAGTGTGGTGAATGATGCCCAAATGATCTGACCCTTATATTTGAGCTGGCAAAGTGGTCACAACTCCAAGTAAGTTGCCTTTGGATTCCTGCATTACAAAGAAAACTCATTTTACAAAGATACATTTGCTTCTTGCCGATTCTAAAATTTCTCTTACCTCCAACTATTGTTACATTGAAGGTTTTGGTGACATTAAATAGTTTTCCATTATGATGAATGAAAAACACACAGGTGTAATATCCCTGATCTTTAAACTCCGCATTCTTCTGTAAAAATGGGTTTTTATTGTTCTCCATCTTTTCACAGTTCTGTTTTGCAAAAAAAAAAAAAAAAAAAAAGAAGAAGAAAAGCAAGTTAAAATATTTTAAGTAAAAGCAGTATCATATTATATTGATTCAAATTTATAAAAGATTTTTATTTAAAAAAAGGGGGAAACTGAAAACTAGCAATTTCTGAGTAGATGCCCCAGTGATTTGGTACTGCCTCTGCGGCAACAAGGAAACATAGTCCCATTACTGTTATTACTGTTGTTACTAATACATGCTGGGAAATAGAATATAGGGGGTGCTGTAGCTGCTCCTGTCATTTTCTTTTAATCTCTCTCTTTTACACATAAGGGGGGTGGAGGAATAAAGACAAAGGGAGACGGAGAAGGGAAGGAGGGGTAGAAGGAAGGAGGTAAAGGAGGAGAGAGAGACTGACCACTACAACAAAAAAATTCTTGCTTGGGTGAAAACTTCTTGCACAACTCTATTTTGTAACACTTTTAGTTTAAGTCCATATACTCGGGACTATCCATCCTGGGGGTGGGTAGTGGAGGTGGGAGCAGAATTACTCAGAGACCTGAGTACCTAGCAAACCACCCATCCTCTTGATGTCTTCCACCAGAAGACAGTAGACTGATCAGAAATGTATCAAGAATATTCAAATCCATAGGCACACACAAACATGTCTCTCCATCACAAATTTCCATTTAGGTCACAGGAATGAATAAAAACAAAAAAGCCACCTTCTTCAATCTAGCCATCAGTCACCGATGGAAGAGGTTCTAAGCAATCTAAGATCCAGATATGGAAAACGGGAACTAAACTGCTAACCTTGACTATGCGACACTGTTCCTGCTTAGGAGCAAGGAGAATGTACTGCCCACAGACCTCTCCTGAAGGAGCCAAAGCTGGCAGCAACTGGGGCTAAGCCCAGAGGGTGCTTAGCATGGAAGCACCCACATGTGTCCTCACTTCAGTAAATTGTTTCTGTACATGTCAAACTTTTATGACCCCAAACTGTTCTTTTCCAAAGCACATTTAAATATCAAAGACTCTTCATTTTTATTTCCAATCATTTGTTTACTGATTTAGCTTCCTTGCTCTCCTCCCCTCAGATAGGCCATGATATGTAAATAGGCTGAGAATAGTGAACCTTGTGTTTAATCAACTAGCTAGAAACATCCTCAATAGACCTATTTTCTCAATTTAAATATCCACATGTTGAGATTTCTTGAAACCTGTACACTGAACCTCACAAAATTACAGGTACTGTTAAATATTTGCACATTTGACAGGAAATAGAGTCAAGCCCACTCAGGACTGACTCAGACATTTAGAAAACATTTGGATAAGAGCTCTTCCTGAAAAATCACAAGTAAACAGTGGTGAAGCAAAATTTGCAAACAAAGATTTCTAGGAAATCATCTGTAGCTTCAACTTTCTGAAGGGTTTCTGACTGGCTCACTCTCCCATACGGCTTTTTAAAATTTCCATAACAGAGTCACATTTTTCAGGTTTGTTCTTCTATAGAAATAATACAATTTGTGTTGGGTGTCTGCATATATGTAATTTATGTATGTCTATGTATTATGTATGTGTATACTATAAGTTTATATATGATACATATGTGAATGTATATATAATCTCCATAGTATTGTCTAAAAGAGCTTACAATTCAAGTAAAAGGTACACCAGCTGAAGAAAATAGATAATCCACAAAAGAAGTAATCCTAAGGTGCAAAAAAGACATAAGATGTTCAATTTATTATTAAGAAAAGAAATGGGTAAAAAACTACTAAAAATTACAGAAATTTTGCATGTCAGATGTTTAAATGTTCTAACGGAATGACTTCACAGTGTGTGGTGGTGTTGGAAAAGAAGGTTTTGAACTAGCATAGCTCCCCGGAGAGGAGTTTAATAATGGGGAGCAAAAGCCACAACTGTGCTCATAGCCTTTGATCCAATAATTCTACTTTTAGGGATGTGACTGAAGAATAAAAATCATACATACACCCTAAGACTTACGAGAATGATACCTATTTTAGCTTTGTAAATAATAGTGGAAAGTAGGAAACTAACAAATGCTCAATACCAGGGGATTCGTTGGACACGACTGTAATACACAATGGAATCCCAAAGGATTTAAAGGATGTTTAAAGAGGTAGGGGAATAATCACAATATAATTTTTAGAGGATAAAGGAAAAATACAAGCCATTAAAAATACCATTTTTATTTAAGAAAAATTTTTTTTAAATATCACTTTTTAAAAGTAGATGTTTACACCCACAAAAATCCCAACGTCTCTGGCTGGTGGAATTCTGAGTGAGCTCTGCTATCTTCATTGTGCATTTTTCCATCTTCCATTTTTATAAAAGGAACTCATATGTTTAGGAAAAATACATATACAATACAAAATATTGTATACAGTAGAATTTAAAATTTTAAATATATGTGGCAGAAGAAAATAAAAATCCCTAAGCTAGCATTCCTAAAATTTAATTTATCAAAAGAGAAGGAAAATGAAAGAGGGGCAAGGAAGAGGAAGCTGTTACCATTTATCAAACACTTAATATGGGGCAGGAGCTCATCTGAGCAACCCTGCTGGGACACTTTGCTCAGATGGTCCAGCTGAGCTGTCGAGGGGTCAGGCAGCTTGTACGTGACAAGACAAGGATGCTCCACAGCCAGCAGATCCTCACTTTGGATTTTTGTCTTTTATTCCTCAATTTAAAATATTTTTTAAAGATTTATTTATTTAAGAGAGAGAGCAAGAGTAAGGGGCTGGGGGAGAGGGAGAGCGAGATTCTCAGGCAGACTTCTTGCTCAGCTCGGAGCCCAACGCAGGGCTCGATCTCACGCCCCATGAAATCATGACCTGAGCTGAAATCAAGAGTCAGACGCTTAACCCACTGAGCCACCCAGGCGCCCCTTAAGTTAAAATATTTTAGAAGTGTTACCTTATACAGTGATGTTCTATTGACCAGTTTTTGATAGTATGTATTTTGTTTACAGTTTACATGCAAAGATTTTTGAACTTCCACAGTTTTACTAATTAGTTGTTTTTCAGCAAAACAGTTGTGTTTACTTTTTCCAATGACATTTAATTTCCATTCATGCGTATCATTTCTATGAAATAAAGGTTTCAAAGTATTTTATAATTAGTACAGAGACTTTGCAAATACCACCTTTTAGTAACCAATCCATCCAGTGAAAACCTTTCCTTATTTTTGTATAAAGAGGCTCATTCCCTGACGTGACGCCCAGACCGTGCTCTGCCCCATTTTGGTTCAGTGCAGCAAGAAATTTAACAATTATCATGGGACAAGGGTAAGGGGCTGTGAAAGAGAAAAACCTGAGCAGTCCTACACACACACACACACACACACACACACACACACACACACACCCTACTGCAGACCATATATTATGGGTGTCTGGACAGAAATGTTTAAAACCTCAATGATCTTTGAAAATGTACAAGTTCAAAGATTCTTAAACCAGGATGGGACAGTAGCAGTGGATTGATGAGATCCACAAACAAACTCCTGAACTTGTTTCCTGGAAGTTTGTATATATGCATTGGGTTTTATATTTCTCTGGGCAATTTCTTCTAATCCTCTTCTCTTACTGTTGAGTAAAGCCAAGTCTGGAGTGGCTGCATAACTATATTAGGACTTTACTGAGCAAACATTAGTTTGAATCGATTTTATTGATGTTGTTCCTTTTGATTAGAAATTAGTAATCTGGAAGAGGAAACAACTTTAACACAGTTTTTAAAAAGGAGCTCGAGGGCGCCTGGGTGGCTCAGATGGTTAAGCGTCTGCCTTCGGCTCAGGTCATGATCTCAGGGTCCTGGGATCGAGTCCCGCATCGGGCTCCCTGCTCCTTGGGAGCCTGCTTCTCCCTCTGCCTCTCTCTCTCTCTCTCTGTGTCTCTCATGAATAAATAAATAAAATCTTAAAAAAAAAATAAAAAAATAAAAAGGAGCTCGATCTCACAACCCTGAGATCATGACCTGAGCTGAAATCAAGAGTCAGACGCTTAACCCACTGAGCCACCCAGGCGCCCCTTAAGTTAAAACATTTTTAAAAAGTGTTACCTCCTACAATAATGTTTTATTGGCCAGGAAACAAGGAAATGTTTGCAACCTGATGTTTGTTTAAACTGCACATGCACTATATGGATCCCCATACTAAACATAACAGAGGTGTTTTAAGTTGTCCAGTGTGCCTTTTGTACCCACCACAGGCTCCTGCAGTCTCCCTTCTAAGTCCACAGTAGCGTGGAAGGAAGACTAACACTCACTGAGGTCCGGGCATTGCACCACGCATGTGCAACGGGGATGGCAATTTCTCTTATGTGAGATAAGAAAGCTAAACCTCACCTAAAGCTGAATACCTGGCCCAAGTTCCCACACCCGGTCAGCGGCAGGGTCAGGACGCAAACACACTTCAGTTTGGTGCTAAAGGCCAGGACTGCACTGCCCAATACTATGCTCTCACAGTCAAGGTGAGTCTGGCCCCTCCCTTGGGTGTGCATTCATACAAGATTGGTCCGGGGCTGGGCGGAAAGTGGTGGGCGGCTTGGCAAGCTGTCCTAAAGGTTAAAGCGGTAGGTCAATGGCCATGGAACATGATAGAGCTACCCGGCCCTTGGAAAGGATTCAGAATCCCATTGGCATCATCCTCTTCCCAAGTCTGTCTAATGTTTTCCCGACTTCAGCGCCGCTGAGCTGGACAGAGATATAGTTCCAGATCTTTCTGTCCTGTCACTTATAAGGAAGACAGTACATGCATATTTCCATCTTATCGGGCCATATTGTTCTCTACCTCTGCAATCCTCAATTCCTAACTCTCAGTAAGTCCTGACTGACAGAACATCTCCATGTCCCAGCCACTGCCCTGGGAATGTGGGAACAAGGGGACACTGTCCTTGCTCAGGGAGCTTGAAGGCCAGTGTGAAGCTGAGGCCAACTGACCAAAGCTGGACCCATCCTATTCTCCCACAGGGCCATCCATTCTTGGTCACAGGAGCCACTCCTGCCACAAAAGACGGGATTTGAAAAGCTCTAGCCCATTAATGGGAGGCCCCTTACCAAGTCAATCTTGCTGCTTGTCAATCTAGAACATGACTATGAGACTCCTGCATGTACTTTTCTCTCTATTTTCATGCCCTCCCCTCTAGCATCGAAAACCCCCTCTCCTGCATCCCCTCCTTTCTTGGTGGATTTCATCCTTAAAATTTGATCTGACTTCAGGATTCAAGTATCAGTCTCCAGAGGCCTTTGATTATTAGCAGAGGGCTCCTGAAAAATGAAAGGATTATGGTTCTAATGGATGGATTCCACATGAAATTACAGAGGCTTGCTCACCTAAATCTGTGCACACACACACACACGTACACACACACACAAGATACTGTTCACCAGTGACCCAAATTTGAAGAAATCCCCAACTTCAATGCCCCTGGGTGTCCAAAACAACCTGTGTAGATTCCCATTGGTTTTCTTTTTTTAACGATTTTATGTATTTATTTGAGAGAGAGAGAGTGACCACAAGCTGGGGGAGAGGGAGAAGCAGACTCCCTGCTGCAGGGAGCCCGATGCAGAGCTCGATCCCAGGACCCCAGGATCACGACCAAACCCAAAGGCAGATGCTCAGCTCAACTGACTGAGCCACCTGGGCGCTGCACCCTGCCCACTGCTTTTCCCAAAACCACTGTCAAGGCCTCTCCTCATTCCATCACATTAGTCTCACGTTATTCATCAGCCTCCAGCACCTTTCAAAGTTCATCACCACAGCCATTGAGCCACCTTGTTTTTCCTGCCCTGTCTGATCGTCTTCCTAGTTTTCCACACTTCTCCGACAGCCTGTCTCTATTTGATGCTTCCACTCTTCCTTCCTAATCCAGGCTGTGTTCTCCACCCTCCGTATCAGAGAGACAGTTAATGCCTTCTGTCCCTATCTGTCTCCAAGCGATGTTTGTGGATAACTGACTCTTCCCCTCAATGTGCTCTTCCTGCCCTGTCTGGGGTACTTCCTGCATTTAAATCATGCCTTTATTCAATCAGGACTAGGGAGATTTTTTTTTTTTTACCCCATTTGCGAGTATTCATTCTACATTAGCGTGAAAAGACCCAGTTGTGACCTACTTCTAGAATCGTCACTCTTCAAAGAACACATAAAATTCACTGGTCAAAACAAACAACAGGAAAAGAGTTCTTGAATTTCTTTCTGACTCCTGGGGGTTCCTATGTATAGAAACAAACCAAAATGACCTCATTTTGTGCAAAACCACATGAGTGATAACAAGGTTTCACCGCGATTATCTCACTCTGCTCTCAGTAGCACTGTTGATAATGATCAGGACCCACCCCAGAAATCTACTACATCTGAGAGCACACCACCACCGCTCCCCTCACCTGGCCCCCAGCTATCTTTCACAGGTCAGCCTCAGATCTCTATAAAACTACACACATACTCACATGCAGAGGCAAGTCCATACCCAGCACCACAAATGTGCCAGATAAACACAATGTCATCGAGACTAACAATCCATCACACAGAACATCGCTTGTCCCAGTTGCTCCTTCCCAGCTCACCAAATAAAGTATAAAGAGAACCTAGTTCAGTGATAATCACTGAAACATTCAGTTGGTTTTTCTCATTTCAAAGAACTTACGACTCTTGGACTCTTGATGATGAGTGTCCTGGCATAGACTATAGGGGTCTGTCCCATGAAAGTTGTGCAAAGCCTTTTCTGGGCTCTTCTCTCTCACTGCCCCTGGCTGTAGGTCTGTGATTGGCTGCAAGACCCACACATCCTTCACTCACACTACCACCTGATACTCAACAAACCCCGGACAACTGAACCGGAATGAGTCTACACCAGTTCTGACCCCTCGCCCCAGCCTGAGGATGCCACCCAGGAAGCTGACGTTGCCCCCCTTCACCACATGTTCATTATGGAGTCTTCACTTACCCAATTTGACCAACAACTCTACACAATAGGAGCAGCTGAATTTTAAAATGAATTTCATTTGGTACCCACTTATCTTTGGTAAGGATCCCCCAAAAGAGATATTAAGGTAATCTTTTGTTAAGATCACTAAGAAGATAAACACAAGGGCAAATATTTAATTTTTCCATAATGAAGTATTTATTGCATGTTGTAGGAGAGCCTAATGCATGGATTATCCTTTCAGATGCTGTATATCTGATTTGCTGAACTAAGTCCAAGAGTGCTATGAAATATACTGACACAAAGAGAAGCTATACTCACCCCATTTGGAAAAAGTAAGATCCACTGTCCTCCAACTCAACTGGCCAAAACTCCAAAACATAATCGTGCAGAGAAATTCTGGGTGAACTGCTTGAGTTTAGCTCAATGCGCCCCTGTGATCGACTGCTCTTGTACCATTTAATGATGGCTGTTTCATTCTTGGGCTCAGATGCTGATGAGCAATATCTCAGATAGAAAGGTTCCCCTCTGACTGCGGTGATGTTAAAACGTGAAGTACAAGTTTCTTCATAAGATTAGCAAAGTAAAAGAAAAATAAAAACAGAATGACAAAGGTAAATGTTTTCTTTCCTAACGCATGAGGCAAATAAGCCAGGTGAGTAAGAAAGTCCTGAGCAATCTCAATGTCTCAGTCTTGTGAGTTCTCATTTTAAAAAGGGTCAATCTTTCCAACACTAAGAGACAGAAAGTCAATCTTTCCAACACTAGGACACTCTCAGGGCATAAATGTAGACAACATTTCCAACACCTTTACCAAACAGGACACAACCAAAACTTAACCGACCATAGCTAGAGGACAGATAAATGCAGTGAAATCTTTTCAAAGAAGATGTTACACATTACAGATTCCTCCTAACGAAAGCCACAGAGGTCACCGTGTTGCCACACCTACCCCAAAACATCCCTAGCTGGGGAGTCTCCATGGAAATGGAAACAAGAAATCTAGAGGCCTCAGAGTTCCTCCCCTGTCTCACCAGAAGTGTGCTCTCAATCAGTTTACCTGACCATTCCCTGGACAGGCCTCGGGATGGTTAAGGTGCTCCTATGTAGCTTAGAGTGTGTGTGAGTTCATTATCTCTCTGGGTTACCACGTGGACCAACAAGAATTGATTAATACAATATCACTCTAAATCTGGGTATCTGTTACTTCCCTCCTTGAGTGCTCTTGCAAGCTCGCTCTCTCCCTCCTTCCTTCCCTCCCTCTTTCTCAATCAGCCCAGATACTCTGTCTTCAGAAATTTATCTGATCTTTTCAGCTGACAGGGTCATCATTCCCCTCCTTTTGAACTTCTGATAGTTCAAAGTCAGCCCTCATGGACCCTTTCCATATCCTGTTCTCCAGCGGCTCCAGCATGCCCTTTTATTTTATTCAAGTATAATTAACATACAGTGTTATATTAGCTTCAGGTGTACAACATATTGATTCAACAATTCTATACACTACACAGTGCTCACCATGATACGTGTAGTTACCATCTGTCACTATACAATGTTATTTCAATATTATTGACCATACTCCCTATGCTCTAATTTTCATCCCTGTGATTTATTTATTTTATAACTAACTGGAAATTTGTACTTTTAATCCCCTTTATGTATTTCACTCATCTCCCTACCTCCCTTCTGGCAACCACCAATGTGTTCTTTGTATTTTAGGAGTCTGCATTTGTTTATTTGTTTTGTTTTTTAGATTCCACATATAGGCAAAATTATATGATATTTGTCTTTCTCTTTCTGACTTATTTTACTTAGCATAATGCCCTAATTTAGGTCCATCCATGCTGTCCCAAGTGGCAAGATCTTATTCTTTTTTGTGGTTGAGTAATATTTTATTGTGTGTATATATATCCACCACATCGTCTTTATCCATCCATCTGTGAACGGACACTTGGGTTGCTTCCATATTTGGCCGTTATAAATAATGCTGCAATAAACATAGGGGTGCATGTACCTTTTCAAATTAGTGTTTTTGTTTTCTTTGGATAAATACCCAGTAGTGAAATTACTGAATCGTATGGTCTTTCTATTTGTAACTTTTTGAGGAACCTCCATGCTGTTTTCTGCAGTAGCTGCACAAATTTGCATTCCCACCAACAGTGCCCTTTAACTGAATTTTGAGAATGATAATCCTTAAATTAAGTAGAGCATTTCTCTGAGGGCATGGTCTTCTCTATAGTTAGGGTCTATTTCTCAAAGCAACTGTCTGGTTTTAACTCGATGTTGTTAACCACAATACAAAGAGGAAGTGGCTCAAATGGTAGAAGTATTTTTTGAAAACATGGATGTCGAATCTACCTCAAAGTACAAGTGTTAATGAATACCAACCTTGTGTTTGGTGGTTGTTATAGAAACTCCATTTTACATTTCACCACTTCAACACAGAAGGTGTGATACATGTGTAAGTGGTTGGTGTTAGTTTTAATTGACATCCAAAAGGATGGCATGTCAAAAACAATTTCACTTATTTTCCCATTTCAGGGATGTAATATACATTAAACAAAGGACACAAATCCTACAGTCTGTGCTCTTCTGCCTAGATTCTTTCCTAAATCATCATGTCTCTGATAGGCAGACATGTTGCTGCATGAAGCAGTGATTTGTTCTTTTTCTCATAGTTATGTACATCCAGTTGTGTTCATATTTGACAATTATCCGTTCCGTGGGTTTTGAACATACGGGTTATTTCTAGGTTTCGGCCACTCTTTAAAAGAACACTTCTATAAACACCTGTGCCTCACCATTTCTTTGGGGGAGGACTTATCATTTGTAGAAACCTAACCTGGCTTACAGACTCTCCAGGGGTAGATGGTTGGAGTTGAAAGTTCACGCTCCCCTGGCAGTTAATGGCTTCAGCTACCTAATCTTTCTTATGCTTCACACTATAGGCTTTGTTGATTAGAAATTGTTTTTGATTGAAAAAAAAAGTGAGTGGAATTCAAGGTGTATGGACTGCCCAGAGCAAGAACTCCCATTCCTACATGAACAGAGAGTAAGAATCCAACAGGGTCAACAACCTAGACCCTTTGGAATGATGTCTGTGTTTGGAAATGTCTTGAGTTCGGATAATAAATAGGATACTGTCATTCAACGGCTACTAGTTTAAATGAATCCTCATGTAGAATATTGTCATATTTGCCCAGAGTGAACCCTTTACAAAGGGTGCTCTTCAGATACCTAGAAGGACAAAGAGCTAGGACCTTAGTCACCTTATAGAATGGGCTGTGTGACTAGTTTTGAGCCTGAAACATGTTTCGCTGTAACTTGGGGGCAAGGTTATTAGTGTGTGTCTACAGAGCAGGGTACCCACAATGCACACTTCCCTGTGCCTTGCTTTTTCACCCTGCAGTTTCTAAAAGATTAGTCATCTGGCATCAAGAGGAGCAGATCTACCTCCTTCCTTTAACATCTGGGTAGTATTGCACTGTCTGGATCTCAACAAAAATGGGCCCACTTAAGTAAACATTGGACTGGAATTATTTGAAAGTATCAATAACTTAAATTCCCTCTCTCTTCAGCAGTAATTCTCAAAGTAGGGGATATGGGCTTATGTGTTACTCTCTCCTAATTAACAGATCAAGGCAAATCAATACTTGTGTTCCCACCTTCTCCTCCAAAGCACAAGGAGAACCTTGCTAATCAGTCATGAATCTCTTCTCCAAAGGATCCTGATGAAGCCACGGAATTCTTCTTGATAAAAGTCTCCAAGCCATCACTGCTAATCAGTTAAAACTGGTACCTGCCACCTGATATAAAGCCTACTTGTTTTGCCCAGTCTATGCAGTCTTTCTTATGTATTCCTTCTAACTCAAATACTTCCCTCAAGACCTGTAAGGCATTCCCACTCACTGTCTTCACTACCTAAATAATGAGATGAATCTTGGCCTTCATGTTGGGAGAAAAAGAATGTGTGTAAAACTTGCTAAAAATCAATAATAAAGATGGCTGTGAACTCTTCAGTTTTAAATAACATAAAGCAGATTTTCATCTCAGACAAATGTAATTTGTTTCCAGATACAATCCTGTTTTCTCTGCATAAACTCAGAGGACTAAATCTTTTCCTTTTCAGTAATCCCATATGATTCTTTACTTGATTTCTTTTTTTTTTTTTTTAAGATTTTATTTATTTATTTGACA